TGTGACGCAGTGTGTAGCTGGTCTATTGTCATAGAGAATAGGAACTATGTGATGCAGTGTATATCTGGTCTATTATCATAGAGAATGGGAACTATGTGACGCAGTGTGTAGCTGGTCTATTGCCATAGAGAGTGGGAACTATGTGATGCAGTGTTAAGCTGGTCTATTGTCATAGAGAATGGGAACTATGTGATGCAGTGTATAGCTGGTCTATTGTCATAGAGATATGTGATGCAGTGTATAGCTGGTCTATTGCCACAGAGAATGGGAACTATGTGATGCAGTGTATAGCTGGTCTAATGCCATAGAGAATGGGAACTATGTGATGCAGTGTATAGCTGGTCTATTGCCATAGAGAATGGTAACTATGTGATGCAGTGTATAGCTGGTCTATTACCATAGAGATTGGTAACTATGTGATGCAGTGTATAGCTGGTCTATTGCCATAGAGAATAGGAACTATGTGATGCAATGGATAGCTGGTCTGTTGCCATAGAGAATGGGAACTATGTGATGCAGTGTATAGCTGGTCTATTGCCATAGAGAATGGTAACTATGTGATGCAGTGTATAGCTGGTCTGTTACCATAGAGATTGGTAACTATGTGATGCAATGTATAGCTGGTCTATTGCCATAGAGATTGGTAACTATGTGATGCAATGGATAGCTGGTCTATTGCCATAGAGAATGGAAACTATGTGATGCAGTGTATAGCTGGTTTATTGCCATAGAGAATGGTAACTGTGTGATGTAGTGTATAGCTGGTCTATTGCCATAGAAATTGGTAACTGTGTGATGCAATGGATAGCTGGTCTATTGCCATAGAGAGTGGGAACTATGTGATGCAGTGTCTAGCTGGTCTATTGTCATAGAGAATAGGAACTATGTGATGCAGTGTATATCTGGTCTATTGCCATAGAGAATGGGAACTATGTGATACAGTGTGTAGCTGGTCTATTGCCATAGAGAGTGGGAACTATGTGATGCAGTGTATAGCTGCTCTATTGTCATAGAGAATAGGAACTATGTGATGCAGTGTATATCTGGTCTATTGCCATAGAGAATGAGAACTA